CATGCAGGAGATGTTAAGGCAGCCAAAGTGACCCATCAATGGAGTGTTGTGGCACAGTTCTAGCACCTTCAGTTGGGGGCATCCCAGGGGAACATATATGGGAAGGATGTTATCCTGTCCCCCATGGAGTGAGGCATATTAGCCCCTAATGGCGTTGACTTGGTTCCTTGGGTGAATGGGTCTTCTTTTGAGGTGGACTGGATGTGGGAGACCAGTTCTTAATTAATTGTGGCATTAACAAAATTAGTAGGCTTGGAGACAGAGGGGCTTGAAGGTAGGTACCTTGTTTTCCTGGTAGTATTCCCCCTTTCGTGACGGAGTATCAGCTTTCCCACTTTGGTTTCCCAGGCGGTAGGTGATAGTAAACTCGAATTGAGACAAGAACAAGGCCCACTTTAATTGTCTCTGGTTCAAAGTTCAGGTCTTGCAGTGGTACATGAAGTTCTTCTAGTCAGTAAAAACCTGTACCGGGTGCCAAGCTTCCTCAAAGTGGTGACACCATTCTTCAAAAAGCAATTTTGATTGCAAGCAGCTCCTTGCCCAGTATTTCATAGTTCATTACTATGGGGGTGAATTTCCAAGTGTAGTAGGAACATGTGTGCAGAACTGGCTGGGGTCCAAGTTGCTGTGAGAGTACCACCCCAATAGCCACATTGAGGCATGTGCCAGAATCAGAGCCGTGGTGAACGCAGTAATGAGGTGGTCAAAAGTATGCTGGATATCAGGAAACCAAGTGAAATGAATGGCTTTATGAAGGAGGGAAGTCGGGGAGGGGGAGTAAGTGGGGGGGGCCACCGCCCAGGGGAACCCGCTCACCTCCTGCCACCCTGCTCCACTGCTGCTCCTGCCTCCCCCCCTTACCCCATGGAGCCGCCCCTGGCCAAGCTGCTACGGACTGAAAGTCTGCCTCCTGTCTGCTGCGCAGAGCAGGGGTAGGGGGTAGGCTGATGTCGAGGTGTCCGCCTCCCCCTGCCTGTATACCTGGTCGCCACTGAGTTGGAGGAACCTGTCGTCTGCTGCTGGCTCAGGAATGAGTGCTGCTGCCAGCAGCTGCTGCTGGCTGAAAATGCATTCAGGCTCCAGAGTGCTCTGCTTAAAGAGACAGCACTCCTGCCCCCCCAACACACACACACACACACACACACACTCCTCCCCTTCTCCCCCAAACTTACACCCCCCCCCAAACCAAAATCTGAAATGGCACCTTGGACTGAGCCAGGAGTAGCCAGAGGAGGAGCCAGGCTGTTGGGTCCGGCAAGATGCGACTCTTGTGCAACAGCACGGAGCCTGCCTTGAGCTGCAGGCCAAGTGCTGGGCACCACAAGCCGCAGCAGCACAGAAGCAATTAACACCCAAGATATTGAAATAAATGGTATTCTAATATTGTTTAACAGTGCGATTAAAACTGTGATTAATCACGGCTACTTTTTTAATCTCACAATTAATTGCGATAATTTTTTTTAAATCGTTTGACAGCTCTAGTATTGATTATTAATTATTATTATTATATTATTTTGTTCCCTTAGAATCCTAGGTCTCACATTTCAGCTGAGAAAAAGGCATTTCTGCAAGAGAAAAAAAACCCCTCTCCCTTTCATTATCATACAAAATTAGAGAGGAAACTGCTTTTTCTAGGAGCCATATTTTTTGCTTGCTTTAGACACAACCCAGCTGGAATTCAGAACAATGAACATAGCAATTAGCTGACATTTCTCTACATAATAATATAGGTTAGAGCTCGAAGGCCTTGTCTACACTAGGGAAATTTCAGACAAATTTCTCACTGTTGCTAACACTGGTTCAGCTGAACCACTGTTAACAATATTGAAAGCCCTAATGTAGATAAGCCCACTAACCTGCACACTGTTATCAGCACTGTGTCAATAAGACTTGCTCTGAGCAGAACAGTAAAAGATAACTAAATGGAGTGGCTTTAAATATGTAGCCTACTACAGAATATAATATATTTCAAGACTCATTGCAAGACACACACACACACACACACCCATCACTCTCTTCCCAAAAAAAAGAGAAAGAGAAAAGAAAGAAAACTGTAACAAACTCACGGTCTACCCATAGTTACTGAAAATGTCCCCAAGTCAAACACTGTCAGCATTCATCCTGTAATTCCTTACTTTATTAACACTAAAATATTTTTGAAAAAAGACTCACTTAAATTAAAAATAACATGTTGAAATGGCATTTTCAAACTGAAGGCTATTAAAAATATTATTCTGGTATAAAAACAAAAAGTGGCACATCTTGCTTTAATTCTTTACTGCAAATGTGCCATTTTCAACCACCGTTTCAGTAGAATAATCCCAGAGAGCCACTACATACATTGACTTTCTATAATAAAAGAATACACTTCTTTATTGTGTATCTTTATACTTGCAAACACCAGCACACTGTCTAGAAACTCACATTCCAGCTGAACATTGCTTTTAAAATAAACTTTTTATTTGTAAAGGATGCCCATCATTAAAATATTGTGGAAAGAATCTAGAAAAAGCAAGGATACTGGCAGAAATCTAATGTTATTGGAAAGACAAGATATTCACAGTACTCACACTGCCGGTGGTTATTAATTAGAAATCATTAGATATCCCAACTCTCAACAGTTCAGCATGTATCTCACTGGAGTGATGACCTGTTTTTGCTGACAAGATTTTTATGCAGGTGGTAGTGGGAAAAGAGTGTAATTAGGAAAGCTCAAAGATACAGAGCCATAAATTACTTACAGTCCTGTCTTAACTTTTACACAAGCTGTTTATGTAATGCAGGTGCAATGGGTAGGGGAGAGGCTGCGGTCCTGGCAGGACAGAGGAGAGCAAGAGACCACTGGCCAGGACTATGAGGAGAATGAGGAGTCCCTGGCCATGGAGGAACCCACCCCTCTGCTGAACAGTTCCTGCCTGTGGAGGGCTCCCAAACACCTGGCTGGTGAGTGAGAGAACTGGGACCATGACAGTGTAGCTGCAGAGAACTCCCTGCATGGCCCTGGATCCCTGCAGGTACCAGGTGCAGGAGGGAAGCTGCAGTCCTGGTGGGGCAGAGCAGAGCAGAGACCCCCGGCCAGGACTGTAAGGAGGAAGATGTACACTGGAATTTATGAGACTTTGTGATGTGCACTTCGCCTGCCAAAAGAGTCATCAGCCACCAAAGCAAGGCAGTATGCTTGAAACAGTATGCTATTGCAGAGTTCTTGATTGGCCAGTTTGCCTACACATTTACTCCACTAGCAGTATCCTTTTAATTGCTATGCTTCTTGATTAAGTTGTATTTCTTCAACCTACAACTGAGTCATGAGTGTAGATAAGGCAGAAGTGGGGAGTGAGTGATACTCTTCCATGCCTATTACCCAGGGCTCCTTTGAAGATATGATACTGAATGACTATGAAAGAACTGATTATCTGGATTTTCACTTAATAAAAATCTTAATCTTAAATCTTAATCTTAAAACCTTTTGAAAACCGCTACAGCCCTTGAGCACTAGCTATCATCAGTTTTGTATGGGAAATAAGAGAAAAGTTTTGTTAAAGTCTTTTGGCCTACGTGCATTGGAGTCCCAAAGGGTCACCATGTTGGTGTCTTTCTTGAGCAGCATTTTTGACAGGGACAGAATGAGAGAGACTTTAACCACATTTGCTTGTCCCTTTTATGATCTTGTACGCTCAGCTTACACCCTCAGCTGACAGAGCATGAAGGCTTTCCTTCTTATGCCAAAATTTTGCCCTACTCTCAGATAACTGCTAGCTGGCATCTATGAGAGAAAGTGAAAAGCTTGGTCTTATGATTAAGACACTGGGCTGAGAATCAGGACATTTGCATTCAATTCCTGGCTCTGGTGCAGACTTTTTATGTGACCTTGGGAAAGTCATTTGAGCTGTCTGTGCCTCAGTACAACACTTCCTTGCACCACAGAAGTGTTGTGAGGATAAATGTTTTAATGTTTGAGAGGCACTTGGATACTACATTGATATTGGCTATTTAAAGAGACAATAGCATGGTGGAAGAGGGCAAAGCAGATAATTAAGACTTTTGGGAATATCACACTGATACATTTCTATGTATTTCTTCTTATATATTCAGGGGGTTTTAACATCACAGCTTGTATATTTTTAATTGCATTTGATTACTGTATAAAATTTATATAGCAAAGAACTCAGTATTATTAGTAATAATCATAATATTTATTATTGTAACTATATGTATTGTAGGAGCTTGCAGCCACTTTGTCCTTGACATGTTAGAAGCCAAAACCATCCCAATTTTATTGATTTATTGGAGAAATCAATATATACTTACAATATCCTATTTTTATAATTACCAAGACACAGTACGGAAGGAAGGAGTATTACCATATTCAAAAGTTAACTAGATAAACTAGGAGAGATGAATGGCATAAAAAAAAAGCAGACAAGCATGAAAATGTTGATTCAGCAATCTTTTTCAGTTCCATAGATTTCTTACATTCTACAAACTTTAAAGTTTCCATGACATGCCAGAACAAAAGTTCTAACGCTATTAATTCAATATTTTATCTTGAACGCTCTTGCTAACATTGGACAAGCGAGCCTTCTTTCATGAAAAAGTGCTTTTTGTGAACAAACTGCATGAATTGAGTGAAGACATGTTGCATATCTTTAAATATGTAAATATATGGATCTTCTCCTACAACACTATGAAAAAAGGGAAAGACAGCATTTAGATATTGCATAGAGCACAGTCATACGATGCCCTGATTAGCATCTCCACAGGAAAGGGGTCTCTGTAATGGTTAAATCTTGTGTATTCCCATCTCTGTGCTGATTTTACAAATATTAATCCATTTTTAAAGACCCACCTTATAATCTGAAAACAATTATATAAAATATGTTTCACAGTATTTTAGAAAATGGAAACAGACAGTTGCTCTCAGCATATAGGAAAGATCCCAATATGAATACACTACTGACAATTCATCAGATTTAACAAGATACAGTAAAAGAAGAACTGACCTCCTGAGGACAAATGATTCTCTTGGGACGCGGCGCCTCCTGTTGTAACTGATACACTGTCAAATATAAAAAAGCAATAATAATTAGAGGACTGCAATATACACAAACTTTCATTCAGATATTTATAGCCAGATGCTTCTGAGAAAATGCAAATAAATATAAAAAAGGGTGGGGTACAGAGACATTTTTAGAATGCATGCAAGTCAAGTCATTTATATGGAAATTAGTCATGGAATTGTACACTGGTAACATTTATTTATTTATTTATTCATATAATCCCAATTTAGTTTTGTATTGTTGCTGGCACTGTGTATTTCCATACTTCGCTTGCAAGACTAGATATAACAAATCCTTCTGAATGTTTCAAGATAAAACTCCTCTGTTGCAGATAGTATTACTGAAGAGCTCAATAATAGAATTTTTAAATAAAATTCCAGTGTCTTTGACTTGGCTAGGAAAAAACTGCAACAAACTACCAAGAAAGTTCACTAGAATCTTATCAATGCATACTGAAGACATGAGTGATAACTATTTATGAATGAATGAGACCCCTAGTGCTTCCACGTTCTAACATTTCCCCACTTTCCTTTTCCTTTTAATGTGCTACCTAAGACCCTCAAATATATTTCAGATCAACTTTGCTCATCCTAAGGGTTCCCAAAGTCAAATTCGTTCTGCGGGTTCTAAGGTGAGGGACTGCAACTGAGTGAACTCTGGGTCTCACCTCTCCCATCGTTCCTTATAGCTGACCCCTACTACTCTCCCTTCATGTATTCAAGGAGGCTTCTTCCTTCCTCTTTCTATTCCACAAGTAGTGAATGTGGGTTGACACATGATGAACGGCAAGCAATTACAATGCAAATAGAGTGCCTCTCTTCTCAGCTTTAGTAGAAATCCCAAAGCTTGGCTTGCTCCCTTGAAGAGAAGTCCTCTGTATGTAGACCTCTATACACATATAGAGGGGAGATGGGCATCCCATCTCTATGGTATTGTGATCCCCAGTCCAAGATCCCAATGGGCTGTGGATCAGCAAGATGGCAGGTTGTGGGAAGACAACAAATGATGGGGAACTCCCTCAGCCTTGGAAAACTGTGGAGTATCTACTGAAAAGCTAATATGGTTGGTGGTTGTATTACCTCTTCTTCAGAGCCCCTTTGTGCCATAGATCACCCTTTAAAAGAAGGGATGAAGAGAACTGTGAAGAAACTTGGGAAGTGTGGAGGTACTGGACTTTCACACAGACACCTCCACCACTTGTAACTCCTTTGACTTCTTTGCTAGTCTTCGGGAACATACAAATTTTGGGTGTTTTGAAGCAGGGGATGAAAAACCCTATCCCCTCCCTGGTTGGGAAATCGCATGGAAAATGAAAATGGAGAACCCTTCAGGATTTCCTGTCTCTTATATAGGTTTTTATGCACAGGGGTATAATCTGGCCATAAATATATACACAATATTATGAATTAGTATATGGACCTGCCTGATTCAGTGCTGCCAGCTACATTAATTTTTTCACAAGTCTCATGATAAATGGCGTTTTTCAAAGCTCCTTGAGTCATGTGAATAAGTGAGGATCTCAGCTTTCATTTAAAAAGAAAAAAAGCTATTTTGCAACCCTCATGGTTACACAGTAGAACATGAAAAACTGTGGCCCCCAGCATACCCTAAAGACTTAATACTAAACTAAACTACAAAGAACCCAAACTGTATCTTCTAAAAAAATCTCATGATTTTGAATGCCAGGAGTTGGAGATACTGCTGACTCAGCAAGCTACTTGTTCCTATCTATACATATCTATGTAAACAGTCCCATTAACTTTAATTGGAACTATTCAAGTGCTTGAAGTTAGGCATTAGTTACTGAGTCAAGGCCTTATGAGAATTTAAGAAGCATGTTTAAAAATAGCATGGCATTTAACTTGACATGGGATAACACCGTTGAGCACTAAATACAATCAATATTCAAATATAAAATCTTTAAGTATCTAAAAATAGTATCAGAGGGTCCTGTGGCACCTGTAAGACTAACAGATGTATTGGAACATAAGCTTTCGTGGGTGAATGCCCACTTCGTCAGACGCATGTAATGGAAATTTCCAGAGGCAGGTATAAATATGCAGGCAAGAATCAGTATGGAGATAACGAGGTTAGTTCAGTCAGGGAGGGTGAGGTCCTCTGCTAGCAGTTGAGGTGTGAACACCTGTACAGAAGCAGTTTCTCCTCCCTTGGTGTTCACACCTCAACTGCTA